TCAACTTTAAGTATCCCCCTCATCGCCCCGTTAAAAACCTCCTTGAGAAAACCCAATTGGGACAAAACTCAAGTAAGGGAAAAAATGTATGACATGGGGGACACTTTACCTCTTAAAAGTTGAAGTACTTGAGGTGGGTAATATTCCAGTTGTTTGGTAGTAGCTTTCCTTCCATTGTTTCTAGTTGGAATGATCCTTTCTTCGTTGTTGTCGTGATTTTCTACGGGCCGTCCCAATTTGTTCCCAGTTTGCCTTCCTGTGGGCCTTTGCTTGCTTGTGTTTTTAGCTTTAAGCACGTAATCCCCAACTTTTCGTAGTCAAGTGCTCTGGTATCCCATTTTTTCGTAGTCAAGTGCTCTGGTATCCCTTCGATGGCTTTGGTTTAATCGGGGTTGACCTCGATACCTCACTGTGATACTAGCAAACCTAAAGATTTTGCTGAGGCCACACTGAATGCACACTTTTTGGGGTGTAGTTTCATTTTGCATCGCCTGAGTATGTCGAAGTTTCTCTCAGGTGGTCGATGTGATCTTCTTTCCTTTTAGACTTGACCAACATGTCGTCTATGTAGACTTCCATTGTTTTGATGAGTTGGTATTTGAACATCCTCGTGACTAACCTTTGGTAAGGTGCCCCTGTGTTTTTCAGCCCGAAGGGCATGACCCTATAGCAGTACATCCCTTGATGGGTGATGAAAATGGTTTTCTCCTAATCCTCCTCTTCCATGAGGATTTGATTATAGGTCGAGTAGGCGCCCAAGAAGCTCAGTAGTTCATGCTCGGCTGTTGCATCGATGAGTTGGTCGATATGGATAACAGAAATGAATCTTTTGGGCATGCTTTGTTCAAATTTGTGAAATCTACGCACATCCTCCATTTCCCATTCTTCTTTTTCACCATGACCACATTGGTGAACCATTGGGGGTATTTTGACTCCCTGACGGAGCCATTTTCCAATAGTTTTTCCACCTCTTCGCTTACCGCATCATTAATTACGGAGTTGAACTTGCGCCTAATTTGCCTCATCGAGGGGTAGAATGGATCGACGTTCAGCTTGTGTTTGGCGATTTCCTTCGGAATACCTGGCATATCTGCATGGCTAAAAGCAAACAAGTCTGCATTAACAATTAAGAATTGAAGAAATTTATATGGTTCCTGAAGTTTACAACCGATGTAAGCTTTCTTGCTATGGTCGTTGCTGTCTACTTGAACGGGGTCAAGGTCTTCTATGGTCGATCCTGCGGATTTGATCGTATTGGGGTCTCTAATGACGTTCTCACTATCATCACATATCGACCTAGACCCTGTTGATTGCTATGCTTTTTTTTCTTTGTCCTTCATTTGTTGAGTAACCGTGCAGTCTAGAGCGATGTGGTAGCATTTCGGGAATGTGCGTTGTTCCCCTCGTATACTGAATATTCCCCATGGAGTTGGGAATGACTTGGTATAAGCTGGAGGGGATGGTTCTCATGGTGTGTATACATGGTCGCCCTATTATGGCGTTTTATGATGTGTTTTGGTCCATGGTATGGAATGTGGTTTCCAGAGTGACGTCACCGGCCAGGACGAGGAGTGTGATCTCGCCGGATGTTCATTCAACTGCATTGTTAAAACTTGTTAGTGTGATGTAGCATTGTACTATCTTATCCTCAAGTTTTAATTGTTCAAGTACTCGAGGGTGGATAATGCACGCGCCGCTCCCATCATCTACCATAATGCATCTTATATCGGTATCTAAAATTCGTAAAGTGATAACAAGGGCATCATAGTGAGGGAAAACCAAACTGTTGGTATCTGACTTATCAAAGATGATGATTTCTTCGAGTTCATCATATCGTTCGTGGGTGATCGACCGTTTGAGCTTGTGCGTTGTGGTAAACTTCACACTGTTGATGGAAGCATCGTCACTAACGTCGATGATCATATGGACGGTGTGGGTCGGCGAGGGTGGTTTCAATGGTCCTTGATATTATTCACGACCTTTGGCAAAGTTGGTCCTTCCCGATTGCTTAGTAACTCTTTGAGGTGTCCCTATCGTAGCATGTTTACGACCTCCTATCTTAGGGCATTGCAATCCTCGGTTTTGTGCCCTCGCTCTTGGTGGAACTCGCATAGGGCATCCAATTTTTTGGTACTTGGGTCTTACCTCATCTTTTGCGGCCACTTCATCTTTGGTCTGAGCTTCTCCAAGGCATAGACTATTTCTATAGGTGACTTACAAAAATAGTAAGCGGATAATAAAAGGGGCATACCTCTTTCGTCCGGTGAGTCCCTGTCCTTGATTTGCGTGGGCCCTCTTCGTGGCAGGAGGAGGGCGCAACAGTTGCTCTGACATATGGTAGATGGCGTTCCCTATTGGATTGTGGAGTTTTGAGGTCCCTTCTGATATTATTCCTTCAAACTTTTTTGGATTCAGTCTATACCGAGGTCAATCGATGACTCGGTCCATTGAGATCGTCCTCTTCTACTCAGATCTCGTCATAATACGCGTTATGTATTTTATCCCAAGTAGTTGGGGGTTACTTCATGAGTCGACTTAATAACTTTCTTGTTGCCCTTGAACCGTTTCTACTTAGCCCAATCTGAAAGGCTATAACCGCTATCCCTTCCGATACGTTTGGTAAGGTCATTCTTACTTGGTTGAATCGGGCGATGACGTCCCTTAATCCCCCTCCCGGGAATTGTTTAATAGCAAATATGTAGTTCACTCTTGCCTCGGTCTTCTTGGCCCCAACATGGGTCATTACGAACTTGTCGGCCATTTCTTCGAAAGATTCAATGGAACGTGCATGCAGTTGTGAATACCATGTCAATGCTCCTCCCGTGAGGGTCTCGCCGAAATTTTTCAACAAAATAGAGGATACTTGTTCCTTGGCGAGATCATTGCATTTTACAGCGGTGACGTTGTGAGTCACATGGTCTTCGGGTTCGGTCATGCTATCATATATTTTCATATAGAGTGACATTTTAAAGGTTTTTGGTATGGCATGTGGGGCGGCATCCTCACTATACGACTGCTCGACGAACCGACCGACATCTCTCTTCGGAAAGAGTTTAGGGGCGTCTGGTATCTTATCAACCCTTTCTTGGTGTTCTCTCATTTTGTCCCGAAGCAGTTTGTTCTCGTTCTCCATTTCCTCCATCCTTTTCAATATAGCCGCAAGAGCGTCGTCACCTGCACTATTAATGACATTGTGAGTAATACCTATCATTG